TTGTGTTTGCCTGGAAAAACGGAGCAAGGTCTTTGGCATCTGAAGTGTACCTTTATAGCAATGTCACTGGCTTGATCCCACTAGGACCCTCTGAAGAGCCGTGGAGAAAGCACTTCAGAATGATCTACCCTAGGGATTTATCTCCTGGTTCTCATCCCCTGTTGGTCAAGGGTCGTCCCAGAGGTTGTTAACTCCTGGGCACTTCCAGTTTTGCACATGTGTCAGAAGGGCTATGTGGGTACCACAGGTGACCTACTAGGTGGTAGGAGAGAAGACCCTGAGAAGAAATAGAGAGATGAGAAGGTACAGGTGGAGCTGGAGTAAGAAGGTTGGTCAAGGACATGTGAAGTGGCCACAAGAGGTATCTGAAGCATCACTATGCCTATTGCTTTTTGTAGGGGGAGAGTCGTTTGTACAAATAGTTTCAGAACAATAGAGACATATTAATACAGAGGTAGGTGCAGTGCTATGGCAGCCCAGAGGTAGGAGTCACCAATTGTGCCTGGTCACATGAAGACTTCATGGAGGCGGCAGCCTTGGGGCCAAGTAATAAGGAACACTAGGAGTTTCCCAGAAGGTGAGGGTAGGACATGTTCTTTACAAAGACCATACCATGTGTTACAGAGTGGCAGCCTAAATTAGCAAGTGATCTTGGGGAATCACCAGCAGTTCAGTATGGCTGGAATATTAAATATGGGGCAGGAAGGAATGGTGGGAGAGGAGACTTGAGTCTGAGCTTAGTTTGCCTAGCTCAGGAGTGGATGTCTCATCCATTCAACTCTAGTAGTGCTCAAGATTGGCTCCATATTAAAAGCACCTGGGAAGCTTTTTAAAAATACTCATATCTGGGCCCTACTCTGGGTCAATTAAATCAGAATCTCTGGGGTGAAGCCCAGGCACTGCTATGTTTTAAAAGCTTCCCAGGTGATTCTAATGAGCAGTCATGCTTGCCAACCACTGCTTCGAAGGTTTCAAACAGGAAGTTTACGCCCAGATTGTGTTTCCAAGATTCCTCTTGGCTGGAGAGCAGATTAGGAGGAAAGACCAGTTAGGATGTTCCTGACATTGTGTAGACAAGGCAGTTGAGCCTGGAACTAAGGCATTGTCTGTGGAATTAAGGCATTAAGGAGATAATGTGAGAGACACTTAGGTTGACCAGATCTTAGTGATTAGATTTCTTAGAGGACATTTTAGGATAAAGATGGAACACGTTGGGATGTAATGTTGAGAACAACCTCTGCATGCTTCTGTTTAAAGAGGGTGGTGGCCATAAGCCCCTCTATGGAAAGACTTTCAGCTGTCTCTCTACCCACTGCCTCTGATTCTTCATCCCTGTCTTATTGCAGGGATAATTATTCTGTCTGCTCAGAGTGTGACACAACATGGGCCATGGGTTCACACTGCCTGGGTTTAAACCTCAGCCCTGCTCTTACAGTCACAGGACATAACTTCTCTGAGCCCCAGTTTCTCCATTTGTAAGACAGAACTGATAATTGATATCTCATAAATTACTGTAGGAATGAAGTGGGATAAAGTAAATGCAGTGTGAAGTATGGAATAGGATGCTGGCCCATTGCAGGTACTCAGTGGTTGGTAGCTCATGTGTTATCATTATCATCTTTGTAGCCTATCTGTCTGGTGACAAATCGCCACTTATCTTTTTCCCTGCCTCTTCCCATCTGACTTGCCCTCTTCTAGCCCAGTTCTGGTCAGCCCTCCAGTCCTGAAGATCCAGTCTTGTCGTCTTCCTGCCTGGTCCAGTCTGGGTTCAGCCTTGCTGGGGAGGTGGTGGCCTCATGCCTGGGCCACATCTGGCAAAACACAGGAAGTCTTTATTGTACTGATGAGTCTACTTGCCCAGCTACCCAGCTTGTAAGCATATTGAGGACAAGGACTGGGTTTCATTTGTCTTTGCCTATTTTTTAATACTCTTTCACTCAATTTATTCATTTAATAAATAGTCATTGACCGTCTACTCTGCTTTAAGCCCTAGGGATACAGCACTGAGCAAGACTGGCAAAGTCCTGACCCTCATGAAGGTTATAGTCTAGTGGAGGAGATAATCATTAACCAGATAGTCACAAAATAAATGTTAAATTATGACAGCACAGCCTCTGACTTGGGTGGCTGCCTCATAGAAGTTTGCTGACTCAGTGAGTAGAGTGAGCATCTTGAACAGGTAAAACTGCTGCCTCCTTGGCTGTGAAGAGCGTGTGAAGAAGGACTAGCCCGACAGCAGAATCTGTCAGCCTCTGCCTCAGGCTCCCCTGCGGATGCTGGCTCCCCGTTCTCACTCCCAGAGCATACCCAGTTCAAACCTCTAGGTCGCAGAACCTGGGAATCTACACAGGTAACAGGCGTCCTGGGCTGTTCTCATGACACTGAAGTCTGGGAACTACTGCCATGTAGATACGCAACGACCACGTTGCAGAAACAAACAAACATAGGGCTTAATGAACTGAAGAATCATGAGCTGTACCTGTGTCCCCTGGGAAAGTGCCTTTGTCCTGGTGGACTTGGCGGGGAGGTAGAGTTGAGGTCTGCTTGGTTTACCACTTCCTTAATTGCTGGTTTGTCACTGGCAGTTAGCGAGTTGTCAGATATTCCTTTAGCACAAACATTGTACATTCTGGCACACACAGAACACCACAGGTTTCTCTCGAAGGCACCAAACTGATCCAGTCCCAAACCACGTGCCTTAATTAAAAGCTGCCACTTCTGTGGAATGCTGGCCAGGGACCAGACAGCTTTGATTTCGATCCCAGATCTGCCATTTGCCAGCTCTGAGACTTTGGGCAAGTGTATTCTCTCTACACCTGTTTCCTTATGTGTTACATGGAGATGGTACCTACTTGGAGGATGGTTGTGAGGATTAAATGGAATAATATCATACCACTAACTCACTTACCAGAGTGCCCAGCACATCAGAAGCCCTCAGTGGAGACCAGCTGTCAACACTGCTTTGGGGGAGATAAGTTCTAGGAAAGGCCCTTAGCTGTTGGTGTGTTGTGGTCACTGAGCTGGGTGCTCCCAGGATTTCCAACTGCTGCTAAGGGAAAGTGGCCTGTCCCCAGGCATCTGCTTTTGTCACCGGGAACTGAAGTGCTGTTCTTAGATGAGCGCTTGTGACTTTATCTTTTTATGGAGAACTTGGAAGAATTTACCTCAATTTTCAACCTCAAATACTCTTGGAAAATATATTATTTTTACTCCAGTGGACTTTAAAAAAACAACAACTGGAGATGAGTGGTGGTGATGGTTACACAACAATTTGAAAGTACTTAATGCTACACTGTACACTTAAAAATAGTAAAAATGGTCAATTTTATATTCAGTGTATTTTACCACAATTAAAAAAATGAAAACAACAACAAAATTGAAGTTTGTATTAAAGGTCTAGAAACTCCAACTGAAGAAAAAAGAAAGGAGGAAAATGGTCTCTGTTTCCAGGCCCTGCCAGCATCACTGTAGCTAATGGAGACCTGATTTGTTTATAGAGTACTAAAGTCACATTCAAAAGGACAAGCTTTGTTTATTCAAAAGGGCTAACTGAGGCAGACTGATGAGGTTGCTGAAGTTGCTGTTAAAGCTACAGGGACACCAGAGGGCAGGCAGCAGAAGCAAGAAGAACTACAATCCTGCAGCCTGTGGAGCAAAAACCACATTCACAGAAAGATAGACAAGATGAAAAGGCAGAGGGCTATGTACCAGATGAAGGAACAAGATAAAACCCCAGGAAAACAACTAAATGAAGTGGAGATTGTCAACCTTCCAGAAAAAGAATTCAGAATAACGATAGTGAAGATGATCCAGGACCTTGGAAAAAGAATGGAGGCAAAGACCAAGAAGATGCAAGAAATGTTCAACAAAGACCTAGAAGAATTAAAGAACAAACAAACAGAGACGAACAATACAATAACTGAAATGAAAAATACACTAGAAGGAATCAATAGCAGAATAACTGAGGCAGCAGAACGGATAAGTGACCTAGAAGACAGAATGGTGGAATTCACTGCTGTGGAACAGAATAAAGAAAAAAGAATAAAAAGAAATGAAGACAGCCTAAGAGACCTCTGGGACAACATTAAACGCAACAACGTTTGCATTATAGGGGTCCCAGAAGGAGAAGAGAGAAAGGACCAGAGAAAATATTTGAAGAGATTATAGTTGAAAACTTCCCTAACGTGGAAAGGAAATAGCCACCCAAGTCCAGGAAGCGCAGCGAGTCCCATACAGGGTAAACCTAAGGAGAAACATGCTGAGACACACAGTAATCAAACTGGCAAAAATTAAAGAGAAAGAAAAATTGTTGAAAGCAGCAAGGGAAAAACGACAAATAACATACAAGGAAACTCCCATAAGGTTAACAGCTGATTTCTCAGCAGAAACTCTACAAGCCAGAAGGGAGTGGCATGATATACTTAAAGTGATGAAAGGGAAGAACCTGCAACCAAGATTACTCTACCCGGCAAGGATCTCATTCAGATTCGATGCAGAAATCAAAAGCTTTACAGACAAGCAAAAGCTAAGAGAATTCAGCACCACCAGACCAGCTCTACAACAAATGCTAAAGGACCTTCTCTAAGTGGGAAACACAAGAGAAGACAAGGACCTACAAAAACAAACCCAAAACAATTAAGAAAATGGTCATAAGAACATACATATCGATAATTACCTTAAATGTGAATGGATTAAATGCTCCAACCAAAAGATACAGGCTTGCTGAATGGATACAAAAACAAGACCCATATATATGCTGTCTACAAGAGACCCACTTCAGACCAAGGGACACATACAGACTGAAAGAGAGGGGATGGACAAAGATATTGCATGCAAATGGTAATCAGAAGAAAGCTGGAGTAGCAATACTCATATCAGACAAAATAGACTTTAAAATAAAGAATGTTACAAGAGGATCAGGGGCCGGAGACCTATGGGAACAGCGGCCCGGGACCCGCGCTGCCCCCACCCCTCCTGAGCAGGCGCCCCCATGGCCCGACCCCACTGATTCCTTCACTCGGCCATGCTCCCGCGGCCCCTATGGCTGTTTTGGGACATGAGCCCCCCCGGGGGAGTCGTGCTGAGCAGCTTCCGGAGTCGAGACCCCGAAGAGGGTGGGGGCACAGGTGGCCGGGGTGTGGGCGGGGGGCAGGAGGAGGAGGAGGAAGACGATGAGGCCCCTGTGTCTGTCTGGGACGAGGAGGAGGATGGTGTCACCTTTACTGTCACAAGTCACCAGTATCGGCCTGTTGATCCCTTGGCCCTGAGGCCTCCCCCGCGTTACTCCCAGAGGCTCCGAGCTGGCACTCTGGAGGCCCTGGTCCGACACCTGCTGGACGCCTGGACATCAAGGACTGACGTGACCTTCACAGCAGCCTTCCTGGCTACTCACTGGGCCTTCACCTCCACGCCTGCCCTGCTAGGGCTTATGGCTGACAGGCTGGAAGCCCTTGAATCTCATCCTACTGATGAGCTAGAGAGGACAAAAGGGGTGGCCATCTCTGTACTGTCAACCTGGCTAGCCTCTCACCCTGAAGATTTTGGCTCTGAGGTCAAGGGTCAGATTGACCGGCTTGAGAGCTTCTTGCTTCGGACAGGGTATGCAGCAGGGGAGGGTGTTGGGGGGGGCAGCGCTGACCTCATCCGCAACCTCCGGTCCTGGGTGGACCCCCAGACCCCCGAACTTCCTAAGCCCCTGGCCCTCCCCGGCGATCCCCCTGCTGACCCCACGGATGTCCTGGTGTTCCTTGCTGACCACTTGGCCAAACAGCTGACCCTGATAGATGCGGAGCTATTTCTCAATCTGGTCCCCTCTCAGTGCCTGGGGGGTCTGTGGGGTCACAGAGACCAGCCAGGACATTCCCACCTCTGCCCATCTGTCCGGGCTCCTGTCATACAGTTTAACAAGGTGGCAGGGGCAGTGGTCAGCTCTGTCCTGGGGGCTACCTCAACCATAGAGGGGCCTGAGGAGGTGACCATACGGCCACTCTGTCCACCCCAGAGGGCCCGGATGCTGGAGAAGTGGATCCGTGTGGCAGAGGAGTGCCGTCTGCTCCGAAACTTCTCTTCAGTATATGCTGTGGTGTTGGCCCTGCAATCCAGCCCCATCCACAGGCTTCGGGCAGCCTGGGAGGAAGCAGCCAGGGACAGCCTCAGAGTCTTTTCCAGCCTCTGCCAGATTTTCCCCGAGGAGGATAATTATTCCCAGAGCCGGGAGCTCCTCCTGCAGGAGGTGAAGCTGTAGCCTTCTCTGGAGCCAAATTCCAAGAAGTCCCCGAGGTCTGGCTCCCAGGGTGGGGGTGTGGTCCCATACCTTGGCACCTTCTTGAAGGACCTTGTGATGCTGGACGCAGCCTCCAAGGATGAGCTGGAGAATGGATACATCAGTTTTGACAAGCAGAGGAAGGAGTTTACTGTCCTTTCTGAGCTGAGGCAGCTCCAGAACAAATGTCGTGGCTATGACCTCCGACCTGACCCCGATATCCAGCGGTGGCTACAGGGGCTCCGGCCACTGACAGAGGCCCAGAGCCATCAAATGTCCTGTGAGGTGGAGCCATCCAGTACCAGTTACCCTCCTGCCCTGCAGGTGCTTCGGCCTACGCTGGTCATCTCGCAGTGGACAGAGGTGCTGGGTTCTGTTGGAGGTCCCACACCCCTTGTCTCCTGGGACTGGCCCAGTGTGGTGGCAGAGGAGGTGCCTGGAATCCCCGCTCCACTGCTGACCCGGCTGGCCCAGCACATGAAGTGGCCGTCTGTCTCATCTCTGGACTCCGCCCTGGAAAGCACTCCAGCCCTGCAGAGTCCCGCTGATCCCAGCCACTTCTCTCCCCCAACTTCCTTCCTGAGGCCTTCTCGAGGTCACTGCTGCTCAGCCTCCTGTGGCTCCCCACTCAGTGGGGGTGCAGAAGGGGCCTCCAGGGGGGCTGGATATGGGGGAGGGGGGCCTGGGCCAGGGGCTTCTGATTGCCGCATCATCCAAGTCCAGATGGAGCTGGGGGAAGACGGCAGTGTCTACAAGAGCATCTTGGTGACAAGCCAGGACAAGGCTCCAAGTGTCATCAGTCATGTCCTTAAGAAAAACAATCACGATTCTGCGGTGGCTTCAGAGTATGAGCTAGTGCAGCTGCTCCCAGGGAAGCGAGAGCTGACTTCCCCCCCCTCGGCTAACGTCTTCTACGCTATGGACGGAGCTTCACTCGATTTCCTCCTGCGGCAGCGGTGACGGCCCTCCACTGCTACAATGGGCCATGCCAGTGGCCCTTCTGCCTCGGGAACTCCCCCAAGTGAGGGAAGAGGGGGTTCTTTTCCCAAGATCAAGGCCACAGGGAGGAAGATTGCCCAAGCACTGTTCTGAGAAGGAAGCCCTGTTGGCTCCTAGAACTCATGGTGGCCGTGCCAGATGTGGGGAGCCATCCTGAATGGTGGCAGTTGCTGCACTGGGAAAAAATCCAGAAGGATGGCCAACCACCCTGGGGCAGTGAAGCGCCAGTGGTTTACCAGACAGCCGAGATCCAGCCCTATGGGAACTGGTAATCTTGGTACCCAAGACGGATACCTGTGTATAGCTTCCCACTTTCCATGAATGCAGCACACAGCTAGTGCTGGAAAAAGGATGCGTTTTTGATTCCTGGCCACATCCTAGCATGCTAAGGGCCAAGGAAAGGCCTGGAAGTAGGGGGAAAGGAAAGGCCTGGAAGTAGGGGGAAAGGAAAAGCCTAGAGGCTCTGAGCCCCAGGGGAAGGGAATGGTAAGAAAAAGGTTCTAGTAGGAGTTCCTCTTCCTACTCTGGGTGTTCCTGTCACTGTGACAACACTAATAAACCAAAACACTACCTGAACTCTAAAAGAAAATGTTACAAGAGACAAGGAAGGACACTACATAATGATCAAGGGATCAATCCAAGAGGAAGATATAACAATTATAAATATATATGCACCCAACATAGGAGCACCTCAATACATAAGGCAAATGCTAGCAGCTATAAAAGGGGAAATCGACAGTAACACAGTAATAGTGGGGGACTTTAACACCTCACTTACACCAATGGATAGATCATCCAAAATGAAAATAAATAAGGAAACAGAAGATTTAAATGACACAATAGACCAGATAGATTTAACTGATATTTATAGGACAGTCCATCTGAAAACAGCAGATTACACTTTCTTCTCAGGTGCGCACGGAACGTTCTCCAGGATAGATCACATCCTGGGTCACAAATCAAGCCTCAGTAAATTTAAGAAAATTGAAATCATATCAAGCACCTTTTCTGACCACAATGCTATGAGATTAGAAATCAATTACAGGGGAAAAAATGTAAAAAACACAAACACATGGAGGCTAAACCATACGTTACTAAATAACCAAGAGATCACCGAAGAAATCAAAGAGGAAATAAAAAAGTACCTAGAGACAAATGACAATGAAAACACAAGGATCCAAAACCTATGGGATGCAGCAAAAGCAGTTCTAAGAGGGAAGTTTATAGCTATACAAGCCTACCTCAAGAAACAAGAAAAGTCTCAAATAAACAATCTAACCTTACACCTAAAGGAACTAGAAAAAGAAGAACAAACAAAACCCAAAGTTAGCAGAAGGAAAGAAATCATAAAGATCAGAGCAGAAATAAATGAAATAGAAACAAAGAAAACAATAGCAAAGATCAATAAAACTAAAAACTGGATCTTTGAGAAGATAAACAAAATTGGTAAACCATTAGCCAGATTCATCAAGAAAAAGAGGGAGAGGACTCAAATCAATAAAATTAGAAATGAAAAAGGAGAAGTTACAACAGACACCACAGAAATACAAAGCATCCTAAGAGACTGCTACAAGCAACTCTATGCCAATAAAATGGACAACCTGGAAGAAATGGACAAATTCTTAGAAAGGTATAGCCTTCCAAGACTGAACCAGGAAGAAATAGAAAATATGAACAGACCAACCACAAGTAATGAAATTGAAACTGTGATTAAAAAATTCTTCCAACAAACAAAGTCCAGAACCAGATGGCTTCACAGGGAATTCTATCAAACATTTAGAGAAGAGCTAACACTCATCCTTCTCAAACTCTTCCAAAAAATTGCAGAGGAAGGAACACTCCCAAACTAATTCTATGAGGCCACCATCACCCTGATACCAAAACCAGGCAAAGATACTACAAAAAAAGAAAATTACAAACCAATATCACTGATGAATATAGATGCAAAAATTCTCAACAAAATACTAGCAAACAGAATCCAACAGCACCTTAAAAGGATCATACACCATGATCATGTGGGTTTTATCTCAGGGATGCAAGCATTCTTCAATATATGCAAATCAATCAGTGTGATACACCATATTAACAAATTGAAGAAGAAAAAACCATATGATCATCTCAATAGATGCAGAAAAAGCTTTTGACAAAATTCAACACCCATTTATGATAAAAACTCTCCAGAAAATGGGCATAGAGGGAACCTACTTCAACATCATACAGGCCATATACGACAAACCCACCACAAACATCATTCTCAATGGTTTTTCCTCTAAGATCAGGAAAAAGACAAGGATGTCCACTCTCACCACTATTATTCAACACAGTTTTGGAAGTCCTAGCCATGGCAATCAGAGAAGAAAAAGAAATAAAAGGAATACAATTTAGAAAAGAAGAAGTAAAACTGTCACTGTTTGGAGATTACATGATACTATACATAGAGAATCCTAAAAATGCCAGCAGAAAACTACTAGAGCTAATCCATGAATTTGGTAAAGTTGCAGGATACAAAATTAATGCACAGAAATCTCTTGCATTCCTATACACTAATGATGAAAAATCTGAAAGAGAAATTAAGAAAACACTCTTTTTTTACCATTGCAACAAAAAGAATAAAATACCTAGGAATAAACCTACCTAAGAAGACAAAAGACCTGTATGCAGAAAACTATAAGACACTGATGAAAGAAATTAAAGATGATACCAACAGATGGAGAGATAGACCATGTTCTTGGATTGGAAGAATCAATATTGTGAAAATGACTATACTACCCAAAGCAATCTACAGATTCAATGCAATCCCTATCAAATTGCCAATGGCATTTTTTCCGGAACTAGAACAAAAAAATCTTAAAATTCGTATGGAGACAATACAGACCCTGAATAGCCAAAGCAGTCTTGAGGGAAAAAAACGGAGCTGGAGGAATCAGACGCCCTGACTTCAGACTGTACTACAAAGCTACAGTAATCAAGACAATATGGTACTTGCACAAAAACAGAAACATAGATCAATGGAACAAGATAGAAAGCCCAGAGGTAAACCCACGCACCTATAGTCAACTAATCTATGACAAAGGAGGCAAGAATATACAATGGAGAAAAGACAGTCTCTTCAATAAGTGGTGCTGGGAAAACTGGACAGCTACATGTAAAAGAATGAAATTAGAACACTCCCTAACACCATACACAAAAATAAACTCGAAATGTATTCGAGACCTAAATGTAAGGCCAAACACTCTAAAACTCTTAGAGGAAAACATAGGAAGAACACTCTTTGACATAAATCACAGCAAGATCTTTTTGATCCACCTCCTAGAGTAATGGAAATAAAAACAAAAATAAACAAATGGGACCTAATTAAACTTCAAAGCTTTTGCACAGCAAAGGAAACCATAAAGAGATGGTAAGACAACCCTCAGAATGGGACAAAATATTTGCAAATGAATCAACAAAGGATTAATCTCCAAAACATATAAACAGCTCGTGCAGCTCAATATTAAAGAAACAAACAACCCAATCCAAAAATGGGCAGAAGACCTGAATAGACATTTCTACAAAGATGACATACAGATGGCCAAGAAGCACATGAAAAGCTACTCAACATCACTAATTACTGGAGAAATGCAAATCAAAACTACAATGAGTTATCACCTCACACCAGTTAGAATGGGCATCATCAGAAAATCTACAAACAACAAATGCTGGAGAGGGTGTGGAGAAAAGGGAACCCTCTTGCACTGTTGGTGGGAATGTAAATTGATACAGCCACTATGGAGAACAGTATGGAAGTTCCTTAAAAAACTAAAAATAGAATTACCATATGATCCAGCAATCCCACTACTGGGCATATACCCAGAGAAAACCATAATTCAAAAAGACACACGCACCCCAGTGTTCATTGCAGCACTATTTACAATAGCCAGGTCATGGAAGCAACCTAAATGCCCATCGACAGACGAATGGATAAAGAAGATGTGGTACATATATACAATGGAATACGTCTCAGCCATACAAAGGCATGAAATTGGGTCATTTGTTGAGACGTGGATGGATCTAGAGACTGTCATAGAGAGTGAAGTAAGTCAGAAAGAGAAAAACAATTATCGTATATTAACGCATGTATGTGGAACCTAGAAAAGTGGTAGAGATGAACTGGTTTGCAGGGCAGAATTTGAGACACAGATGTAGAGAACAAACGCACGGACACCAAGTGGGGAAAGCTGCCACAGGGGGTGGGGATGGTGGTGTGATAAATTGGGTGATTGGGATTGACGTGTATACACTGATGTGTATAAATTTGATTAAAAAAAAAAAAAGCTACAGGGACTTTTAAGAAAGATTCTAAAGGACCAGTATGTCTGAAGAGACCAAAAGAAGGTAATTCACACCGTTCACACCGTTGCCCATGTTACCTGGCTTCTGGGGTTTTTGTTGCGGGGAAGGGGTGGAACTCAGCCCCATGGCACTACTTTATATTAGACTGTGTATATTAACATCTTTTAGGACTGGAAGGAGTTTAGGGACTATATAGTTCTAACTCCCCTTATTCATTCATGTGTTTTGAGCAACAGTTGTCTGTTGAATTCCTTCTTTGTACCTAACATATAATAGGATCTACCATTGTGGATGCTGGATATACCATAGTATGCAACACAGACCTGCCCTAATATAGCTTAGGATCTAATAGGGAAGACAGACATTAATCAAATAGCTACGTAAATGTAATTACACATTGTGTAATTACACATTGTGGCAAGTGCTGTCTTTAGAGGGAAAATACAGGTTGTCTGAGACATGGATTAGGAGGGTAGACTCAGATCTGAGAAGGTCAGGGAAAGCTGGGATCTCAGGTGAAGGGCTTTCTGGGCAAAGTCTCTGGAACAGAAACCTCGTGGCCAGTGGGGAACTGAGAGTACGCTAGTGTGAGGGTGGGTGTTTTCTGAATGAGGAGAGGGTTGAACATCCCACTTCTGCTGAGTCAGGAGTAGAAGTATGTCATCTACTGTTCCAATTTTCTCTTTCTTTTCACATTGAAGGAGACTTACTCAGAAGCCTGGACCTGTGACATTTGCACAGGTAGAATTATTTCCATCCAAAGACAGGATCTGCCCCACTTCCACATGGCCTCCAGTCTCCCTGAGCTCGGGCTCTGTTGCTACCCACATCTCCAGATCTTCACCAAGGCACACTGGTGTCTCATGACCCAAGCAAGGTCATTTCTGTTGACCCTCTTTCTAGACCGCTGCTTCTGTTCACTCAGCATAGCTCATGAAGATCAGTTATGGTTGATAAAATCATGTGTATGATCAAAACTAGCTTAAGATGAAGTTTATACACAGTATGATTGCAACTATATAAAAAT